CAAATTACAACTTTTTCCCTCCAAGTAACAGAGTCTAATGACCAATTTTAGTAAGCCCAAACATAGGATTACAGGAGCCTACACTCGCTGCACACACCCAAAATATGGTGAATTCTGTTCAAAATTACCAATGGCTCTTACAATGCAGACTACAGCAAAATGAGAGAAACTCCATGTGATGACTAAAGTAGTTCAGTGTTTCCCTACGTTATCCTATTTTAGTTGGTAATACTTTGGGATTATCTACGGGGAACACTAAGGCAAAAACAGTAGTAACTCATTTAAGTCATCATTGAGAGAAACGGCGAGGGGGAGTGAGGAAGAGACAAACTGAGAAACGATTTTCTGGAATGAATGCTGCATTAGTTTTAGTTTCACAAAGTAAAAAGTCCCACTCGGCATTCAATGCAAATAAATTTGCTGCTTTCCATAGTCCTTTGTGGAAAGGCATTAAAATATCTCATAATTCAACTCTGTAAAAATTAACTTATTTGATGCCTACACTAGATATCCTTTTTTTCAAATTATATTCCACCTAGATGCTAGAATTTCCATGATGTCGGAGAGACAGTGGTTCTTGGAGAGGGAACACAGTTTTGAAGTATACCTGGGCTGCAAAGTGTAAGGGAAAATATCACAGACTACTTAACAAAATATTTTAACTTCCATTAAAAAAACTACAGTGTAGCACAGACACATTATACTTTTTTAACCCTTTTTTATCTGTCATTAAAAAGGAAGTTACATACCATGACTTGCTTCTGTATTTTTCAACTGTTCTTAATGAAGAATTTTATTTCACAAAAATTTGTCTTAATAATATAAAAATTGATTGTATAAATAATAAAAATTGTCATGATTCAAAATACATCATGCATGAAGTCTTTCTTGACTCACTAATGATATTTCTTTCTCTGCTAAAATATCAGTTATTTTATTCTAGTTTATATTATAGTGACTTGTAGAGTTTTCTAATTATCCACGAATAGATAGAAAATTTCTGCTTCTATAAGTGGGAGTCACAGAGCCTTATCTATCTCTATATTCTTTCCACCCCAGGTCTAACAATTCCCAGAAAATAGTAAGCAATCTACATGTGTATCTGAATTCTCCAAAAACCTTATTTTGTTATTCTAAAAGCCATCTTCAAAAGGTCCTTAGAAAAAAATTAGTTCTATTTTGACAACTAAGAGTGATATTTTTAAGCTGTACAGAATCCATTCTAATTTACCATATGTCTTCTCATACTAAATAATATTTCAACAGTTCTTGCATAGCTATTAAAAAAATAAAATAATGAGATCCTTTCCTGCTAGGTACAAGAATCACTTCTTAATCAGATGTATATCTTTAAAAAAAAAATAACCACAATCATTACACATTTCCTTACTGATGTTGTAAGAGTGCCAAAAATAGTGTAAATCAACAGATTTTTTAAAATGGGTAACGCCTAAGAAATGTAATTATTGTTTACCGAGAGAGAAAAAACAATTGTGTTTAAAATAGAAGGTGGAAAACAGAATTTAAGGAAGAGATCTGTTCATAAAACAGCACTTGCAGGGGACCACTTATTTGTGTCCCCTGGAAGTGCTACCCACCCAGAAATCATTGACAGGGACTGTGTCACACCACAGCAGGACAGTTCCTTAGTGGCTGAGGCTATGACGCTAGTTAAGGGGCTCTCTCCACCTTCCAGACAACACGAGTGGTAGCAGGACCTTGTAGTCATCTCTGGCTGAGGGAGCAGGGAAAGGAGCTCACAAAGGAGGTGACATTGGAACAGGGTTTCAGGGTTCAGCTTTATTCTGCAGATTTTAAGGCATTTTCGGGGGGGTTAGAAGTAACAAAACTTGCTATTTTTAGACAGAGGTTTGGGAAAGAAACTGCTTGTCTAATAAACAGTTAGGTGAGCAGCTGAGGACCTAGTCAGAGTATGAGGAACCAGATCTGGAAGATATTTGAGAGGGAACATCAATAGGACTGGATAATGCATTTGATGAGTCAAAATGGTAATTTTAGGCCTTGAACTTGGCAGACAGATGATGACATTCAATAAAATGTAGATTGCTAGTTAAGGTGTACTTATTGAGCACCTTCTAGGTACAGACACGAGGTCTGTTTTCATTGTATTCAGGGGAGGCGGGCAGTAAACAAAGGAATAATCTGAGACAGTGATAAACATGCTGGAGAAGAGGGTTCTGGGAGAGTGACGGGCGAAGGGCACGCTAGCTGAGACAGTCAGGAAAAGTGACACCTGAATGAAGACCTGGATAATGAGGCAGCCAAGCGAAGCTGTGGCAAATAAGGGAGAGCAAATGCAAAGGCCGGGGTGGGAAAGAGCGTAGGTGGTCCAGGGACAGAAAGGCGGCTGGGGATGGGGTGGGGCTTGGAGGGTGCAGAGGAAAATGAGGCTGCAGCGCACACGGAACTCCATGCAGCCACAGTCGGGAGCGCAGCCGGCAGGAAGGATGTGATCTGATTTATATTTCTGTCTGCTGTGTGGAGAGTGGGCTAAAGAGGGAAGAATGAAGGCAGAGAGTCCTGGAGAAAGTGGAGGCTCAGACTTGATTCTAACAGAACCATGTTAAAAAGGGGTCAGATTCTGTGCACTGAGGGGTTGGCTTCCTGATGGGCTGGCTGTGGAGTGTGAGGGAAAGTCAGGAACCTCACGGGTTTGGATTCTAAACCACTATGGGGAGGAGGGGAATATTCAACAGAGTTAGTGGAAAGTTAAGCAGACAGAAGCTCAGGGTGGCAGGGCCAAGAATCAACCCTTCTCTGGTCAAGTAAAGGCTGAACTGTCTAGAAACTTGTAAGTGAAACAGTAAGTAGGCAGTTAGACATAGTGTACAGTTCAGGAGATAGGTCTAGGAGGAGATAGACTTTGGGAGTCATCAGGCTCTACATAAAAATATTTTTTATTTAATTTTTATTTATTTTTCTATTTTAATCCTTATCCAAGGATATTTTTCTATTGATTAATAGAGAGAGCAGAAGGGAGGGGGGGAGAGAGAGAGGAAAAAAAAAGATATTGATGTGAGAGACACATATCTATTGATTGCCTCCAGCATGTGCCTTGACAGGGGCTGGAGATCTAGCCTGCAACCAAGGTATGTGCCCTTGATTGGAATAGAATCTACAAACCTTCAGTCCACGCTAGTGCTCTAACCATTGAGCAACAGGCCAGGGCTACACAGAATCTTAAACCATGAGACTGGTTAAGATTTACCTTGACTGATTAAGGGAAACTATGGAATAGGGGGGACAGTGGGAAGCAAGCAGCAATGTTTTTGTTTTGGGGTCTTTAAAGGAGAGGAATAATGAATTTCATTTTAGACACTTAAGGTTGAGGTAAATGATTATTTGGCTTTTCTGTGGCAAATAATACATAGACTCTAAAGAACTTTATTATCAGCCTCTCATACTGGATTTACCCCTGCATTCTCATTTGCAGTCTCCCATTATTTTTTGCTACATAAGTAAGCTCTCTGATAGCAAACACTACCCTGTGAATGTCCAGCTGCTACTCAAATAGACAGCACTTCTGAAATATCTCTTATAGCATGAGTGTATAGTAAATCCACTCTTTAAGAACTGGTTGTATAATAGACTAGAAAACAGCACAATAATGAGCTAGTTTGAAATATGGGAGGATCATAATCTCAAAAGTTAATAAATTAAGAGTTATTAACCTTGGAATTATTTCCATGAATGAATCAATCTGAAAGATAATTAAGTACTTCAGACATTTCCAGTGACTCCCATAACTAAGCAATTAAAATCAATGATTATGGATGATTTTTAAACCATTCTGGTGGTTCTTTCTCAAAGTTCAAATACACCAACCTTTATTTCCCATCCAAGATGCTACTGAAGATCAGTAGTCACAAAATGTTTGAATAAATGAAAGAGATCTTTTTAATGTAAAGCCGGAACATATTTCTTTGTCACGGTATCTGTTTTTGTGGGTTTTATTTTTTTCCACCACTGTATACTCCTTACATGGCGCCTTGAAGACAGTCAGTGCTTAACAAATATTTGTTGTATGCATGAATGAAAAATTAATGCAGTTTCATGGGAAAGATAATACTTTTCTTCCTCTACATAAATTTCCTCCCTCCATCTCTCTTTAAATAAGTTTTTCTTTATTATAAAACATTCATTATGGAAAAATCTGAATATAAAAAAATAAAAATATTTCTTCTTAAAACACATATTACTGGCTACTTACAATTCATGATTATATTCATTCATTCAACCAATCTTTTTGATTGCCTAGTCTGTGCTAGGCTTCAGGGATATGGAGATGAAGCATATCCCCAAAGCCTAGCACAGAGAGTTGGGGATATGGAGATGACCCCACTCCACTGTATACAGAATACCCTCATGCACTACAGTAGAATATAAGTAGAGGTGTGTCACCATGTAGAAAGTTTCAAAATTCATGGATTTCCCTTCAGCCCTAAAAATTAACATTCCTCCTAAGTCTTAAAAATTATTTTGGTGATTAAATAAAATTAATATGATCCTACCTAAGTATACAAAATTGTACTGAACACATTTTCAAGACCTCTCGAGGAGCAAATAGCTTTTCCATGTGGAAAATAACAAATACCCTAGTCTTTCTACGGAACAAAGTCAAGGACTGCATTTTGATGTTGGAAAAAGGTTATTTTCAAGCGTCTATAAGTTCACACATTATCTATTTATTCAAATGTATTAGCAGATAACCACTCTATTAGAAATAGCTCCAATGTTTTAACATGAGTGCTCTATTTCTCTCTTTTCCGCTGGAAGTTTCTATTTCCAACACCAGGAAAGCTTAGCGCTTGGGAAGTCATGCTGTCTTGTCATCCTTGACTTAGAGCCGATGACTTGTTTCTTGGTACCTAGACACCAGTCTGCATAGCAAGAGTAGAGTGATTGTTCAGCCTCACAGAAACATAGTCACTGTGACTCTTTCAGTTCACCCCAAAGGGACTCACAGGAGTTTCACTTACCGGTTGGTTGTCTTCTACTTCTGAAGTGTTACCGCTTGCTGCCATTCTCTGCTCATTTTCTGTATCTCCTAAGAAGCAAAAGAAAAAAAAACAAAAAACAGAAAACTTTATCATCTCATTGAGGCCAAACTGTCTTCTATTTCTTTGAGATGTCTTTTGATATTATATGTTTCTCATTATGGAATCAACTACTATTTCCTTTGTTAAAAGTAAATAAGTGAATTTTTAAGAATAGTAATTTTATAGAGGTCTCAGCTATCATAGATAGATAAGACAGATACACACACATACATAAATACACACACACACACACACACACACACACACACACACACAATGTAAACCGGAAATATATCCTGTTTTATAAAGGTTTACACTAGACAAATGAAGTGAATTCACATTTTGTAAATCAAGTCATATTGCAAATAAACTAAAAAAGCATATAATTTAAAGAAGGCAAGTTATTTTCAAATTAAAATTCTTTATAATATGATAACTGCCTTCCAAATTAGTTTATTTTTAAATAAGGTTTATGCTTTATAAGGTTTTGTATATCTGTGGATTTGCCTCTAAGTAGATACATATATTTGCATGTAATAATTAACCAAATATTAAACATTTACAACAGGAAAGAATAGGAATAAACTCATAAACTGGCCTTCAGTTCTACTTTGACACCAAAGGCTGTGCCTGGTGAATTATACTAAATGAAGTTGGTGACTAGGCTGGCTCCAAGGACACCAGACAAACACAAACACAGGTAAGTATGAGCATAACCTAATTTGTTTTTATTTGGCCTGTTTTTATTTATTATCACTAATGATCTGTGATGAACACAGGGTAAGTAAAGAAACAATTAGCCTATTTCTTTCAAGCATAATGAGAGGTTAACTTAGTCATTGGTAAACTGCTTGTCCCATAAAATTAAGCCAGCTCAGGAATGTCCACAAAAGGTTAATTACAAAATTCACAGAAGATGACTTGGTTGATAATAAAGGTTAGGAATTTGTTAATAGAAGGAAGGTCACAGGTCATATAAAGTATGGGAGTAAGAAAGGCTGAGGTTAACTTTTCCGTATGAAATGCAAAAGTTTAGTTTACCAAGGAAGCAAGAACCTCGTGTAAATTTTAAAGGATTAAGCAAAATTCTGTTAAATTCTAAAATCCTGAAGCAATAATTAAATCCTCAAAGTGTTTAAAATCCAAGCACATTAATACATATGCCAGCCTAAAAGCTTTGTTCTCAGCTATACGTAACATAAATAGCTGGCCAGGACAGAGCACATAATAGGTGTTTTAATAAACAATAGCTGAATTAATGAATGTCTCTTTATGGTTTCCAGTCTATAAAAGTGACAAAGTAATACTAAATGGTATGTCATAAAAACGGTATTTCAGCATCCAGTTAGTCTCTTTCTTTTAAAACATATTTGTGAAACTTAAAAGGCAAATCTATGAAATACCACTATAATGTAATATTACCAGTGATCTATAATTGTGGCATAACTTATTAGATTTTGAAAACAGTTAATCGTATTAAGACAAAAGCATTAGGAACTTTAGGTTACATCTATAAGATAATACAGTTAACCATTTGCAACAACATGGATGGACCTTGAGAACATTATGCTAAGTGAAATCAACCAAAAAAAGCTAAGAACTATATGATTTCACTCATATGTTGGATCCAAAACTGAAACTCGAGAACACAGACAGCAGTGTGGTAACTGCCAGAGGTGGAGGAGAAGAGGGTCCTAATATGAGGTGACAGGAGAAGATCTGACTTTGGGTGGTGGTACACATGGTACAATATACAGATCTTGTAACATTGAAACCCACACCTGAAACCTATATGTTCATGTTGACCAGTCACCCCAAAAAGTATTTATATAAAAAAGATAGTAGTTAATTTTAATTGAAAATGGAATCAACCTACTTTTGTGACCCAAGATATCACTAAACTATTTTGATTTTTAAGTGTTTAAAGGGACCATTTATTTGCTTATAAAGAAGAGTCTTGTTTCCAGAAACCCGCTTCTCTCTAGAGGTTAGGGGTAAGCAGATCACAGGCAGCAATACCAAGGAACAGGAGTTTAGTTTGCTTGGTTATGGGCAGAGAGCATGGCAGCATGAATAGCCAAGGTACTGTACAATGAGGTCAGGGTCTTTTCATAACTCCCATGCAAGATGCTTATGAATATACAAATCACCGGAAATGAAAGCTTTGTTGCCTTTTAGGTTAAAAAAAAACACCTCAAGAACAATTAATTAATTTATTTATTTTTACCTTTCAAAATGATTTCTACTCCATCCCACAGTCACACACTGTATTAGGCTAAAATCATTTGGCTAAAAGCATTCAATGTGCTTCCTTTGCCACTTTCTGAGTTCAAGGTGTGTATCTATCAATATATAAGACTTTCCCTGGTTCTCCCACAGCCTGAATAGCCAGAACACTATCACCAATGTTGTTGGCATCACTCAGCACATCTTCCTGGAAGCGATTCTAGAATCGCTATTTACTGAAATGCCACGTCTGGCGATGACTCAGATAGGACAATAACTGATTACAAGGAAAAATGCCTTTTGCGAGATTCTCTATAAACAAAGGCACAAGAGGAAAACTACGCAAACACCAGAAAGAAAAGTCACAAAGAAATAAAATTTTTAAAGTTTTATTCTTCCCATTGACGAATTATTCTGTCATGGTAAAAAAAAAAAAAAATCAGTTGTCAATTTTTTATAACCCACATGAAAGGTAGGCACTTTTATAAAAGCAAGATGCATGTGACAAATGTGAAATAAGGTACTTTAGTTTTCAAACATCAGTTGACTCTAATTTATATGCTGGATAGATTCAAAAATTTCACGGGCAAATCAGCTGCTTAAAAAGAAAAACCACCAACCTTTTACAGTACTTCACGTTTCATAAAGCCTTCTGTATACCACCACACTGAATTCTTGCTCTGGTTTAAAAAGACATTCTCCCCACCCCAAGGCCCCAGGTTACAGGTGAGTGAACCCTCAGTGCCAGAGCACTCAGTGAAATGCCCAGATCTCCCAGGGAGAAGGCAGTCTGGGTAGGACCAGAGCCAGGTGTGCGATCTCTGGGAATTCTGTGGAAGGCTCTGAGGGATGGGCTGAGATGGGAGGGAGCACATCTCTGAGGTAGGGAGCAGGGCATAAAGAGAAGAGCTAGGACTCCTGCTCTCTGAAGACAGAATCTTGTGCTGGTCCAAGGCCCTGGGCCCCTAGGCACTTCTCTCTACTCCTTTGTTCTGCTGTAGGCCCCACAGATTATCTAGTCTCCTTCCTTCCCAATGATAATGGCAAATACTGCCACAAGGGGCAGTATTTGCTGTCCTCCTTCCAGTCCGTCAGAGCAAACACAGTCCTCTGGATCCTTTTCCAGAAGTTTGTAAGACGAGAAACAATTTCCTAAGAGGCAAAATCCCTCTTATACTACAGTGTGCCTTGTCCTTAAATATAGTTTAAAATATAGTTTTTAGTTAGAGTGAGTAAATGATAAAGGCTACTTATACATACAAATGAAGCTCTTTCTGGACTTACAGAACTGAAGTGAAATTCATCTACATTTTAGATTAGGGGTTGGCTACTGTTTTCTGTAAACGACTGGAGAGAAAACATTTTAGTTTTATGGGCCACACTTTCTTGGCTGCAACTTCCTGACTCTACCATTGGAGCTGAGAGCAGCCACAGACAATACGTAAACCAATGAGGGAGGCCTGGTCCCAATCAAATTGGATTTACAAAGACCACAGCCGGGCTGTAATTTCCTGATCCCCGAGTTAGAGGATATATGCACTCAACCTTTTCAGATAAAAGGCTGAACTGTGTTTGAATTCTATAAGGAGATGAGGAAGGAACAGTAATACTATCATCATGATCCCTTCTACGGGGTGAATTGGGTTGAGAAGAGAGATGGTGGTGAAGTGTGAGCAGTAGGGATAAGGGAAGATGAAAAGAGAGAAATCCCCAGTATTAAGAAGGGAAACCACATGCCCATTTGGGTCACCTAGAACAAACTAGTTTGGGTGGGGGCTTTGGTGGTGAGAGGGGGGGGGGGGCAGGGGACACCAGGCCTCCCTCTACTCCAGTCCTGGGGTTGGTGATTTGAAAGGACTTGGCTGTGTGGTTCTGCCCCTTCCCTTTCCCCTTGTCTTGAGAATGGGAGGACCACCAAGAACACATGGCTCCCTCTGCTCTGACCCTCTGCAGGGACTTCCTACCACGTGGGAAGCCTGCCGCAGCTCAGCGTATCCTTCAGCTGGATGGAGCTCAATCTAATTCTGGGTTTCAGATTAGGAAACCTATTTGCTCCTTTTAGAAGCCACGTTCTTCAACACCAGCTTTATTGGTAATAAAGATGAGAATGTGATTTCTTTGTATGTGGGGAGTGTTTTTGTTTTGTTTTTTTCTGAAAATGGCCTATCTTCTCTGGGAAGAGGCATGTTAATAATAGAACAACCTAGAGCCCGTCTGGACGAGGAATGGACTGGCGTGGACAGGGTTGGGCCTGCCTGCGATAAAAAGATGTGAAAGCAAAAACCTTTTCTTTCTTTTCTTGATTAGAGAAAATTTACCTAGAACTTAATACCTTAGAATATAGTCTATAAAACACAAGTTTTGAGGGATTCACCTGGAAAAAATATTTCTATGGTCAAAAGTATGAGGAAAGCCTGTAGAAAGTAATACGTATTTACTTTAACGTATTAAAGGCTCTGAGAAATTTAGTAAAGAAGTTTTTGTTTTGTTTTTTTCACAATGACTATGGAGCCATGATATTCACGGAATACCTATTAAACATATTGCAGAGGTCTGTGAACACACCATGGATGATGGCGATATAACATTTCCAAAGTTAAAATTGATTATGACATATATGTTTACCTTGACCTTTCAGAAGACCCTCACATGGCCAGATTTATCACTTAGCTTTTGAACAAATAGTAACCCACACTCACTTTCCTTTAGAGATGATTCTTTTCACAACTCCCTGTTCATCCATTCAGTTGCATTTGGGGCAGACTGGCATTATGTGACTGCA